ATTTTTAAATTTTTTAGGAAATTTTTGGCACTTCCGGAAGAAAATAAAAATATTGGGCAGTAATGAAACTGCGTGGTTCGGAGAAACGATTGAAGAAAAATGAAAACGAGAGAAAGAAAACATGGAACATGATTCATGAAAACAAAACATGATTCTACAAGTGTTGGCCTAATCGTTGATGTTCGTGTTGAATGTATTAATCATTTATGAGGGCGAATTTAGGAATCGTCATGCTTCTATGTTATTTTGATTTCATGAATAGTCATTTTTAGAGTTCGTTCTTTTAAACGTTATGTTCTCTGGATAATCAGTTTTTTGTACACGTTCTCTTTGTTTTGAATTGCGTGACTTTTCACCAGTATTTTCTTAATTGTTTTGATCCATTTTTAATAAAATCAATTCAGTGGTATTTTCGCTTGAGAACGTTTTTAATTTTTTAAATATAAATATTTAAAAAAAAAACAACGTTTTTAAAATTTTAAGTGGAAAACTTCAGCCAACTCTCCCTTCCCCGTTGTCACTACTCCAAAAGTATAACTTTTATCAGTTTTTTTTCTCCCCTCGTGTGGAACGAATAGTAATTACCAAATAAAATAATTACTATATCACTTTATGTATACTATTAAAATATTTTTGTAGTGGACAGATTCCACTTGTATTTTTGTGGAATTGCGATAACAGAGTTAATCGTCATTCATGGATGATGAGATATTAGGTTGCATTTTCTATAGCTATTGATTGTTTTAAAATAATGACACCGCACATTCTTTGTTGAATCACTTAAAAGTTTAATAGACGTATTTTGTTGCATCATAAGATAGGAAAACGAACGCGTTTCTATGGCTATCTTATGATAAAATATTAAAACTAATGCTTACGCAGAATTTTATAAACTGAATACATACTTACGTTTAAATAGTCTGCAACTAGGATTATTTTTTAGGACGGGTAATTTCATTTTTGCCCCACTTTTTTTCAAATTTTTACCCTTCCCCATCTGCAATCAAAGCTAAGACGTTTACAACAGTAATTTAGATAACACTTTTAAAAATAAATATAACCATAGCAGTCATATTGGTTATTAGAAAAGTTGCTTTGGAATTGCAGTCAGAAGTACCTCAAAACAATATATATATTTTCTGGGTCACGACGTTTAAATTACAAGCCTGCTTGGTTAACATATTTCTGACGAATAGCTATCTGTTCTACGAATAGTTAATCAATGAACTATCAGCCCTGACAAAGGCTGGAAACGTTGGTGCAAAGAAAATATTTTTTTTTTAAACATCTACTGATTGTAATCTACAACCATCTTCTCTTAAAAGAATCTACTGTCAATATTTTTCCATCATCATTATGTAGACTTTATATTTATTTTATTGAATGAATTTCACCTGAAAATACAATTTCGTTCTAAATATGTGCCCCTCCAAATTCGTTATTATTCGTTTATTGAGTTTGAATGTTGAGTTATTTTTCACAAAACTTAATGGACTGATGGTCGAGATTTTCTTAAGCATTTAAAGTATCTGCTTCAACTTTTATGTGAAAAGGTTAGTTAGGCGACAGTAAAATCGATACTGTTGACAGACAATATTCTTTAATCAATTTTATCCATAGGTGTGCTAAAAATATATGAGAATTATATACATTTAATAATCGACTATATCATTAGCGACAGTAAAATTGGTCGTTTGAACAAGAATTCTCCCCTATGAAAGTTGAGCTTAGAAATTTATATCATCCATTATGTTCAGTGGTGTCCGCCCATTCCCTCCCCAAGGCGTACCTCTTCCTTACCAAGATATTTTATTACTCAACTCTTCTTAAAAACAATGCAATGCACATTTCTGCAGTTTCTATTCTTGCCTTTTGTTTGAAACTTTTCTTTCGGAAAAATCATAACCCCATCGATATTTGCCCCACAAAACTTTTGATGGCGCAACTTACGACCCCTTGAAACCCCTTTCTGGGCATCCCTTATTATGTTAAATTCACAATATAATTATTTTTGGTAAAAAAATTGATTAGTTTAAAAAAAAATTATTAAATACTCCAGCGTCATAGGAAAGGGTATAAGAGCATATTTTACTCTTTAACATGTTTTTTTTTTCTTTAATGATATTTTCAGGTATTTTTCAGTACAAAATATTTAATTTATTTAATACCTTAGAGAATATTTAAAATGAAAAAACAAAATAGCCAAGCGTCAATTTTATAATTATTCTATTGTTCAGAAATAATCATAATTGATTAATATAATTTATTCCCTATTAATTATTTTAAAATTATATCCAGATTGATGTGAATGTTTATTTTGTAATTATCAAATTACGACTTCCTGTCCTACAGCATATTTTAACAATACTTCACTTATTCCTGTTTAAGAAATCGGATAGCTAGGACTCCACCTCGACAAACATCTAACATCACTAGCGGATCCAGGATTTAATTTTGGTGGGGAGGGCTTCAGCCCGAAAGATTTTTTTTTTCATATACATATAACGATAATTAATTTTAAAAAATTAATTACCTATATGAAATGGTACTTAAGTGGTTCTTGAAGTCCTATTAAATAAAATTTCACGAACAAGAATACTTTAAGAGATAGTTTTTAATATTTTTTTCTGTAAAACATGGTTATATTTTACCATTTTGGAGGGAGGCTTCAGCCCGAAAGCCCCTCCCTCCCCCGTAGATCCGCCTATGTCTAACATAGAACCCTCATACCAGACTAAAGCGACAAGAAACTGCTCAATGTATCCGACTACTTCAGCATTTTCTAAAGAAACGCTCTAAGCTTCCAATTAAGTACAACAGACCACTTTCCAGGATTTAATTTTGGGATGGAGGGTAGTTCACCCGAAAGATTTTTTTTTTCATATACATAACGATAATTACTTTGGAAACAAAAAAGAAACTACCTATATGAAATGGCATTTAAGTGATTCTTGAAGTCTTATTAAAAGTAATTGCACGAAAAATAATACTTTAAGGGATATTTTTTTTCCATTAAACCTGGTTACATTTTACCATTTGGGGGGGAGGCTTCAGCCCAAAAGATCCCCCCCATCCCATCCCTCGTAGATCCGCCTGTGCAAAAGACTCATACACATGACTATAATAAGGCCTATTTGGACTTACGGAGTTGAGCTGTGGGACTCCACTAAACCATTAAGTTTCTCTCTTATTCAATCCTTACAATCCAAAATCCTTCGTAAAATCCTTAATACTCCTTACTTTGTTACAAATAAAATCATCCATAGCGACCTTATCGTTCCACATGTTTCTGATTTGGCCTGGTCCAGATACCTATCCTTCGATAATAAACTTCAGAACTATTCCCCCCCCCCCTCGTTTCTAACCTTGGTACCTCCTCGATTCCTGATAACCCTCCGAGGAGTATGAAAAGATGGTCACATGATCTCCTATTGAAGACATATTATTATTGCTCTACCTGTGGTTAGTTTCTCAAAAAGTGTTTCATATCATCGTATTCATTTGTTGACATTTAGTAGTTCTATTCTTATTTTTGAATACAACTAATCTCATAAATCTCATGAATAAAAAAAGTCTGCCAAGTAAGGTCAGTATAGCTTCCTCACTGTTTTCATTCTCTAAAATATTAAAATATTACAAGGTATACAATTTTTCGTATGAGAATAAAATCTATGGTACGATCTCTGAGAATAAAACGTTTTAAGCCAGAAAATGTAAAAATATGGGTGAAGTTCAAATAACTTCGATATTTAAGAGAGAAATCGAGACCAAGACGAACTGATAGAACTTCAAAGGAAATAAACACAATCACAGATAAGACGTTGTTTTTTCTACAAACTCAAGAGTATAAATTACTTTAAATGTATTGAAAATTACATGAAATCTAAGTAACGGCAGTAAATGCCATGCCAGTAACGTTTGAAATCGACCAAACAATACAGTATCAATTAATTTTTTGAATAAAACCTAAAATTTTATAACCCCATAATAATATTGTAATAACCTAACTTCCATTACATATGATCAGTGTCTTCAACATTTCGCAACCATTATGTTGCTAACAATTATTTGTATTAATTTTGATTATTTAATGGAATTAAATGAAATTGATAATAAGTAATTTTTATACTGTTCTCTAAATTTCCTCCAAGTTTGGGTCAAATCGAATGCACTGGTTTTAAACTACAGCCATATCAAATAACACATTTCCTGTTCTGAAAGCGGAAGTATTTTTTTGGGGGGTATTAGATGGAATTTGATAAAATTGGTGCCTATTTCATTTACGTATACCAATCCATAAATTCCCTCAAAATTTTAGCCAAATCGAACTTGCGGTTTTAGAGATGTAGACGTATCAAGAAAACCGCGTTTGGGCATATATAAGAGAAAGGAACGGATAGAATTCGATAAAATTGACCCTACATAATTTTTTTTACAAATAACTACCTTTTATCCAATTTTGAGCCAAATCGAACTTGCCATTTCTGAAATATTGGCTTATCTACAAAAATGCGTTTTCGCGTGCGTAAGCGGAAGTGCTTGTTAGAATTTAATGAAATTGATATGGGACCATCTAGGCACCAATCCGCATAATCCCTGAAAATTTCATGAAAATCGGATGAAATGAGTGATATGCCCGTCACATCGATTTGACTACAGATAGAAAGACAGACAGACAGACACCGAACCAAATTTGATCCTTGATGTCTGAAGCGTAAAACGCGAGTGAAAATTTTCGATTCTGAGCACAAAATTTTTTTTAACCTCCCGCACGAATACAATGCTTCCCTACCTTCGGTAGTGAGGAAGCGAAAAATGTAATTAAACTACAAAATACTTTTGGTATTTTAAATACTGTACTTTAAATAATAAAAATAAATCTTTTTGTCAAGGTCTGCGTTGAAGGTAGGTAGGTTCAGGCTAACTTTGCTTTATTTGTTTGTTCGGATAATTGGAGTGTTCGGACTACCGAAGTTCGGATTACTGGAATGACTTCGTATTACAACACTGTTGTTGTTATACAAAGTCATTCCAGTCGACTACAGATGTTGATTCCTGATGCTAATTATAACCGATATTACATAGGTTATTATTTTTTTCTGAAATAAAAGAGCCCATTAGACTGGGTATGATAATTAGTGGAAATGACGCGGGATTCTTGTGGGATTTCGAATGGTGGGGTAGCAGGGAGCGTCTAGTTCTCTCTTTAGTACGAGCTTGCTGCCACAACAAGAAGCTTATCTACTTTCAAGAGGTGAGTTGTAACTATCGACTTTCTTATCTTAAAGCCATACTATTCCCTTATAAATTTAATTGTTTTTAATGAAATACTTATTTTTGAGAATGTAATTAAATTCTACTTCAAAAGCCCAAAATGATTATTTTATTCAACAATTTAGGCGAAATATTTAAAATTCAGTATTTAAAAATTTCTTGTACTCTCAGTTTAATAAATATTTTTTATGACAAAAAAAATATGAAAATAGTAAATACATACAATAATTTCTTTAGTAATTAGTGGAATGATATTAAATAAAAATATACTTTATTCTGTGACTTAATTTCCCTTAAATAATTAGAATTTATAAAATCCTGCTTATAAATTTATTTTAAATAATTCAAAACAGAGATTTTATTAGTGAAATAATTTGCTAACTAGTAATTGTTTACCCATTGTTCTTTATTTATTTACGTGTTTACTTCGCCTGTATGGTATAACTATGTAGTCATCTATAAATAAGTATAAAATATTCGTTATTCTATTTCATTAATAAATTATTTTACTTAAGAATCTTCATCAAAAGTGTGCGTTGTTATCAGTTTTAATCTTTCGATTTTTAAATTATTATTTTTTAATTAAATATAATAAAATATTGTGATATTGCATTATATTATGGAGGGAGGAATGCCATGTATGTAAGAAAACAAAAATGTATCATACAGTTTATTGCAGAAAATCATTTAGTAACATTTCGATAAATTAAATTACTAAATGCTTCTATGGATTTTTCCTTGCATATATTTTATTTTTGATATGTAAAAGGATTTAGATGCACCATTCTGATGCACTAATTGCGTCTTTTTAACCGATAAATAAGGTGAAAATGTACAAAAATAGAGCTAAAAGCTTTGCTCCATCAAAAATGTACTCACTGACTTTTTACAACAAATGTATGATATATTTAAATAATTTATCTTTTCGTAATGAGCAACTTAATGTAAAATAAATTTTAGAAATACATATAATTTAAATGTCGTCTACCTTGTACAATATAATATTTTATATGGTATACATAATGCTGTGTTATTTTTACATTTATAACAACCTATAAAATTTTAATTATATATACCGGGTACTTGTACCAGCATCGGTATAATAATTAGAAGAACAGGCATTTGACCTACAACAAAAAATATATTACATGGTGAATGTATTGTTGATCGTAAGAAGAATACAAGGTGAAGTTAGCTGGTGTGTGTCATTGATGAAATAAGGCTTCATTCATTTTTTCATTGCACGTCTGAAAACATCACATTTTTCGTTAATTTACTTTTATAATAAATAAATAAATATAACTGTTTAAGGTTGCATGATTACGTTTTGAATTTTTTAAAATTTTGTTTTGGAAAGTTGCATTAGTCTGAATTCAAGCAATATAGAGCACCAAGAAAAAAAAAAAGATATGTATATTATTTTCTAAATTTAACGGCAATAGATAACTCGAAAACTCAATCCAGCTTTGAAAATAAAACATCGTTTACATTTTGGAAAAACTATTTTGGTTTAGAGATTAGAGCAGTTAAATTATAATCCGCCTTATACCGAGTACTGGAGTGAACCAAAAATGCTTCGGTTTGATACTGATCTCCAGAAATTATTCCAGTTAAAGATTAAAAAATATTATAATAATTTACAAAAAAAAAAAAAAATACTAAACAAAAATTCCATTTCTATGAAATAACACCCAGGGGGGCCCATCACATCTATGATATATTTTGCATGAACCATCCCCTACTCTTCAAAAATCTTTTCCTCTTCTTAAAACAGTACAAGCGAAAGTAGGATTAGACAAATCGTATATTATATACAATTGCACTTGCTAAAAATATTATTTTTATTTTTATTTTTGTCCCATCTTTTCCTCATGATTTTCTGATCTGATAGATTATTAGCTACCACTAGCGGATCTAGGATTTAATTTTGGAGGGGGCTTCAGCCCGAAAGCTTTATTTATTTTTTTTTTTTCATAAAAATGACGATATTTACTTTGGAAAAAAAGAAACTAGCTATCTATATGAAATGGTGTTTAAGTGGTTCCTTAAGTCCTTTTAAATGTAATTACACGAACAATAATATTTTAAGAGATAATTTTTAAATTATTTTTTCCATAAAACATGGTTATATTTTACCATTTTGTGGGGGGAGGGGGGGTTCAGCCCGAAAGCTTCCCCCCGTATATCCGCCCGTGTTAGCTACCAACAGTTTCAATAAACGAAAGATCTTACAACCAATAAATATCCATTTTAAATTATAGATAATCTTCATTTGTACTTTACTTCAATGAGTCGGCTGAAAGTCGTTGCTGATTTATGAGAATTTAAATTAAAACGATGAAATTAGAAAACTGAAGGCTGAAATTTTGTTCTATGAAAAGTATGTTAATGTAAATGAGAATACATCTTGACTAACGGAATACCCGGTTTTATTTTGAAAACTAGCGGCATCGAAGTCTCCAAATTAATCTTGTTAAATGGTAGACAGATACATTTGAAAAAAAAAATCAAGTAATCAGTTTATCTGCGATTGGTTATGTTTTTTGTAGCACTGAATCCGAATTTTAATTTTGCAAAAGAGAGTTCTCACAACGTTCCGAGATTTACGAAAAAAAAACCAGTGAGTATATAAAAATTAACACTTTGTATAATTTTAATAAGTTTATTCACATTATTTATATGTTTTATCTAAACATTATGTAACTGCCACATTGTTCCATAGCCTTTTGTATCTTGTTCGTTCTAGCCCTGAGGAAGACCTGCGAAGTCGGGTCAAAACGTTGACTTTAAATAAAATAATTTTTTACTAAATATAACATAATAAATAAAATAATTTGATTTCCCAAACCAAATCTAAATATTAGTCCACCACAAATATTGGTCGAATCCTCGCTTTATGGGAGAAAAGTAGGGAAAAAACCTCGACCTATATTTGGACTAATACGGTTATGTAGACTACTCTTATATTTCAAGGTCTTATGGAAGTATTAATAACAAATAAATGCATGGTGCATTTATTGAGAAGCTATATGGATAAGTTGAGTAAGTCGATTTCAAGTCAATATTTATTTATTTTTTTCATTTTTAACCATATTTGGAAATTTTGATTTATTTATTGCCGATATGTTACAAAATTCAGCCAAACAAAAAAAGAACAATAAAATAAAATAAAAAAAATAAAGTTTCAGTATAATAGGTTCCTGACATTTAACCATAATATTTACGTCATTGCCGAATTCTTCCACACCTTCAAGGATAAAGTAATATACACGGGTTGAAAAACAGTTCTCAAAAATATTCATAAAATCATACTTTTGGAATAGAATTTATTTTTTTATTAAAAATAATACCTATCAAATTATTTTCATTGGTCAACTTCTCTGATTAAAAATCTATGTATTAAAGCCTTGAATTTTGAAAATCCTCAAGTTCTGTAATCTAGTTTCAAACGGTACTTATAATATAGATTTTAAAACCATAGGATTCATTGGTATATTTGAAATTTAAATAGAATTAAAATAAATCTTGATTAAAATAAATTTTTTTTTTTTTTTTTATTTCTTTATGACATTTACAACTGTATTACATAAATACATCAAGTAAATTTGAACATAATTGATATAATGACATGAATACACTTGCTGAGTAACTACCCAATGGTAGCACTCTAATGATATGACTACATTAGGAGATCACGGGGCCATCTTCTTTTCAGACGCCTCGGAGGGTGATTAAAATAAATAAATATATATATATATATATATATATATATATATATATATATATATAATATATATATAAACTTGTAGGTTAGAACTTCACATTGATAGTAATAATAAAACTACTTATTTTCTATCTACGTTTCAACCCTTAGGCCATTTTCAAGGGAAGAAACCTTTAACAAATAAAACAATCATCACATCCAAATTATATTTAGTAATTAATTATTTTCACTTAATACTTTATTTTTCATATCTATTTTAATAATTAAAAAATATTTTAGGCTGAATTGTCCATGTCAACTTCATTCAATTAGCCGCACAATAAAACCTTCCTCTTTAAGGTTGTGTTTATTTTAAAACCTCGTTACATTGTCAACAATACCAAAACTAAAATTTACATTATTAAAACTATCTTTAATGTATTGCTAAACTGGTTCATAAATATTACATTAAAATAAATACAATCAAAGCCCTATTTTTAATTCACTCCTTTTAAAATAACATAATTTTTATCGAATTTTTTAAAAATTTATTTATTTATTTAGAAATACAATAATCTGTCACGTGGACAATAATTCTAGTGATATATGAACACATTCACACCATATATACAGAAAATATAAAATTAACGTAAAATAATCCGTACATATATTATTACAGTAAGGCTCGAAATCGGTTTTGTACCAAATATAAGCTCCTGTCATGCTCAAATACCATGAATGGGGTACCGTTGGATTCAGGATTTCACGGGGGGTTAGCGAATCGTATTCTCCACTTTTGTTTTTCTTTCTAAAATAAATAAAGTCGATACAAACATTTTGCTAGGCATCAATAGTGGAACGGTAGTAGGTCTGTAGATCGATGCGGGACAAATTGGACCTTGAAGATTTTGATGCATACAGCAAGACCCGGATAGTTCCTCTGGAACTATCGGATCCTGCGTTTTTATGCCCAAAAATGTACTATTTTCGAGATCACGCAAGGCATGGGGTTCGCATCCACACATCCTGACGTTAATTGTAGTACTGTCATTGGATACATGTCTCATTTCGTCGACTTGATGTCTCTATGGTCGAGACAGGAGGAGTTTATATTATTTATCGATGGTGTTTTTGATCGGCAAGCCATATCATCGTTAATTCTTCACCGAATCTCAAGATTGAGCCACCAATTTCGAAGGCTTCCTTCTCCTTCAGGCGGGCAATAGTCTAATCACCCCGAAAATTCAGGGAAACAAGTTATGAAAGAAAACAAACTT